GCCACAGCGTGTCCCTGCTGGGCTCGCGGCCCTTCTCTGACCACTGAGCACAGCTGAGACCACGGGCTCCACGCCCGGCTGTCGGCGAGCCCAGCTGTGCGGGGTTCTGGGGCACCAGCAGGATGTGGGTGGGGGCAGGCGTGCCAGCTCCCCTTGTGCCCTTTCAGGACTAACAAAGCACTTTCCCATCTTCCCTCTTACACCTCCCGTGGATCCACAGCCCCAGTCTGCAGAGGAGGAGAGTGAGGGTCTGGGAGCACCCCAGGTCCCACTCGGGCCGGCCGGGTCCCACCTCCGGTACTGAGTCCTTTCGGTGGCTAGCGGCCAGTCCCTGAGGTGGGCTGTCCCCCGTCCTTCCCCCGACGCGCTCCCCTCCCACACACACTCTGACCCTGAGCACAGCCCGTGGTAGGTCCGTGCCCACCAGAGCTGCCTGAACTTAGGGTGCAGGCCTGTGGGGCTCTCCTTCTCCCCAGGGGAGCAGGCAGGGGTGGGGGTGCCAGCTCGGGCCCTGTCCCCAGCACCAGGGGCCTGATGGGGGACAGGGTCAGGAGCCGGGCCCTGCGCACCAGACCCTGCTGCTTCTCACACCCCTGCCCAGCCCCACCTGACCCTGCGCCGCCCTGACAGTCCCGCTGGGCAGTGGCATTCCCCTCGGGACAGTGGCCTGCAGCCCCCCACCTCCACTGCCCGCCCAGTGAGGCATCTGAGGTCACTTTGGCATGGCCTTGGCCTCAAAGCACCAGAGAGGGGTGCCGGGCCCAGGCCGGTTGGGCCGCAGGAAGTTTTCTGAACAGGAGTGCCCACCTGAGAACAGCCCCGTAGAAAAAGACCCACCCTCTTGCCATGCAGCCTGCGCTCTGGCCTACCTGGGCAGGCGGGTTGAGGGCACCAGTGCGCCTGTGGCCTCTGTGTGGTCTGGTGGCTGCAGAAGTGGAGCCGGGCTGTCACGGCCCAGCCTCCCCCGGGAGGAAATGCCAGGACCCACCGGAGGCCCCTCGCGGAGCCAGGGCAGGGTGGGCACACACAGCTAGCCGGACGGGGAGCGGGCGAGCGCGGGCGACAGCAGAGAGGAGAGTGACAGGCAAGGACTAAGGGGAAGCTGGAGGGCCAGGGCGAGGGCGAGGGCGAGGGCGGAGGAAGAGCCGTGGGAGGAGGCGCCGGAGTGGGGACTGTGGGGGAGGGAGCCAGGGCAAGGGCACTCGTGCCTGCAGGGACGGCAGAGGCCACATGGCCGAGAAGAGCGGCGTCCAGGCGGGGCTGTAGTGGGCGCCGCCACTGGGCAGGTCGGGCGACACCAGGGACACCACGCTGCAGCGTTGGTGACAGACCAGCTGCTGAGGAGCGCAGAGGGGAGGGTGGCGGAGGGCTGGACAGGTGCACGGGCGTGCGGGCGTGAGGGCCAGCCGGGCCACCTCGCTCCTTCGTCCAACCGCCCGGTCGGGGCTGTGGGCGGTCTAGGGAGGAAGGTCCCTATGAGCTCAGGCTCCTCCGGGAACACTGAGGTCCCCACAGGCTCGGGGCGGCACTGCAGGCATGCCCACAGAGCCAGGGGCCAGGAACTAGAGCCAGAATTCCACCAGCCAGGACCCTGCGTCACCGCCACCGAGGCCCGCACAGGCTGCCACCCTCACCCCTGCACATCACACACAGCCACACTCCTGGCCAGGCCCCAGGCGCTGCGCTGCCCCTCGAGTCACTGTCACCGTCACCTGCTCTCCCTCCCCACCCCTGCCAGGCCCACCTCCTCCTCACACCCCAGGCTCTGCCCCCACCCAGGCCCTCCCTCCCCAGCCGGCTCCACCTCCTCAGCCTCCTCTGCCCTTGGCCTCCGGACACATCAGTCCAATCTGCCAGCCTCGATGGGCCAGTCCCCGGGACACCCAGCCCAAGCCCCGGGTCCCTCTGCCCGGCTGCCCAGCAGGCTGGAGTGTGCGGCTGCAGCTGGGCACCGCGCCTCCTCTGAGGTGCTCGCAGCCTAGGCAGAGCCCGTGGCGGTCAGAGACAACACCTGAGTCTTGTGTGGCCACCCACTGGGTGGTCAAGGTGGCCGGAGAGGCACTGGGCGCTAGGGCCTGCGAGGAGAGGGCGCAGGAGCCGGCGGTCGGGGGCGGACAGCTGCTCACCTGGCCGCGCACCCCACGGCACCCAGGGAGAGCCAAACACTGGCAACAGGAAATGCCAGCTCTGGGCCACGCAGCGGTGCCAGGCACAGGCAGGCCGCGGCGTCAGGAGCCTGCTGGGGGTTCTCTCTACTCCAAGAAATAAATGAGTAAACTTCTGCCGGGGTCCAGCCTCCGCGGGCATGGGTCGACTCATCCGAAGCGGTGCAGGTGAACAGAAGACAAAGGCCTCGGTGCCTTTTTTATGCACGTTGAAAAAAAGAAGAGTTGGGGGAACCAGCAGTTAGCGTAATGGCTATGTCGCTGGACTCCCACGTAGTCAACCGCGGTTCGCGTCCCGGACCTGGTGGCTTAAAAC